CCCTCCCCCCCCCCAACCCCCACAAAAAAAAAAAAGAATAAAGATAAAATAATAGAGAGAAAAATAAGAAAGATTACAAGTGCAAAAAACAAACAATTATTGGCTGCAAATTAATATGTAACTGATTACAATGTTAGTAGGCATAAGCACTACAGCACACCAGCAAAAATGGTATGCATTGACAAAAAGTGAATCTATATCTACAAGATAATAAATAACTGATAAACCACCTATATATTCACTTCATTTGGCTACATTTAACATATATACACTCTATCACATTTATCCTCAGACCAAAAAAATTTGATCCAATTTATATGCAACCTGGGCTTCAATTGTAAGAGATCCTTAAAAGCCCAGATACTACTGATTCAACCTTCGACCAAGTAAATGGATGCCCCCATACAAGTAAAGTACCAGGCAATAAGTTTTCATAAAATTTATAATCATGATACATTAATACCACTAAGCCTTGACAAATAACAATCAATTACTAAAACATCTATTATCAAAACGACCAACCAGCTTGCAACAATTGCCAGCCATCATGTGGTATCTGCAAATTGTCCACAAGTATGGCAAATTGTTTCCAGCAGTAGTACTATGTCATATTGCTTTCAAGATCTTAGGCTAGCCAATTGAGAAATGATTATTATAAAATAATGACTAATTACACTAAAAGAAACCATGTAACCAAATCTACTATTTCCATACCTACAAGGACTATATGCGCTCAATCATCACGAGCCTATCAAATGAACACCAAACCATCAAAAAAAATTGTTCAGGCAACTGCAGAACGGAAACTATAAAATAATTAAAGAGGTCCTTTCCCAATCCGCAAGCTAATACAGACTTAAACCCTCAAATTGCAGGTTCAGTGGTGCACCCGAGTAAAGAAAAAGATGAAGTACAACAAAAATTCTCCATTTACAAAGGAAAAATACCTCCTGTTGTCCACATATCTTCAGCTTCCAATTCCATTGGCAAAAATCACAAAAAGAAACACACTGAACATCCGCAAGCTTTCTCTTCCACTTTCAGCTACCCAAACAAATCATCATCATTACCATCATCATCATTGCCTGAGTTATTTTCTGGCCCTCCACTTAAAGCACCATGAAACTTTGTCTCAGCATCTTTAGTTGGAGAAGTTTGTCTACCACCAGGACCATCAGATGAATATGCCCAAGATGAACCTACTTTGCCTGAAAATGATTCCCCATAAAGGTCATCATAGATTCCACTCTTTGGAGGATTTTTGACCTTGTTCAAGACTTCTTGTAGTTTATCAGTCACACCTTTCTGGGAAGCGTTGACTTCCTTCACAGCAGACTGTTCCTTACCTTTGGGTATAACTGTAATTTGAACAAGGGATTCGTATTTTCCAACAAGACTTCCTTCTTTCACACCCACTGGACCAGGTTCTGTTTCTACATCGGCACCATCTGAAACCCCAACAACTTCAACCAGCACTCCTCCAACCTGATCCCTGAATGCCACTCTTGTTTTCTTAATTCTTTTAGCAGCTCTCTCTGTTTGTCCACTCTCATTTTTTCCATCTGATGAACAACTTAACTCACTAGATCTAGAAACTAAGTCTGATTTGGTGAGACCATAACGGTTCAAGAATGTGTTATAAGCCAAAACAGCTTCTTCATCAGAAGGATCAGGGGGTGGAGGTAGATTAATTTCAGTGGGAAGTGGAGCAGGAGGGAAAAGAGCCGCATTATTTTTTCTCAAGATATAGGTTCTTGTAGACGCAGCAAACCGCAACGACTGCCCTACCTCAAGCTCAACAGGAGAATCTTTAGTCAACCGTTCATTTGCAACAAATGTACCATGTGCAGATCCCAAATCAATTACATATATACTGTAGCATAATACAAAGCTCTGTCAATTCAAATAATTAGCAAAAGGGCCTTCCAATTTAAAAAATTTATATTTAATGAGCCAGACAAGCAGCATCTCCATCTCCCTAGGCCCTTTTTTTTTTTTTTTGGTGTTTGTGTGCATGCATGTGTGTGTGTGCGTGTGCGTGTGTGTTGGGGGCTATGAAGTACGGACACTCTCGAGAAGGTGACGTATCTGTGTCGGACATGTGTTGGAGACCGACACTCTTCGGACACGTGTTCGATACTTTTTTATCCGTGTCTATAATTAAATGATAAATTTTTAATTTCGGACATGTGTCGGACACTTTTTTTGGTGACGTGTCCGACACTTCTTTAGAACGTGTCTACTACTAAACAATAGATATATGTCGAAATGTGATTAATAAAGCTTAAAAATTTTAGAACATATAATTACTAATGCTAGACATGTTAAAATTAGACTCCAAATATAATAATAAAAACAAAAGATGAATAAAAGTTTTAAAAAAGAGGAATTGAAAAAATGAGAACAATTATTTAAATTATATATTAGGTACACATTATCTACAAAAAAATTTGATGGTTATTGACTATTATGAAAATGTTTTAGTCTAAAAATTCACAAAGATGACTAGATATTAGATTTACTTATCATAAAATACTTAATCTTTTATGAATTGTATATCATTATCACTATATTTGTAATAAATTATATAATGTTATATATAAAATATAATTTTATTTTGTAGCGTGTGCTCAACGTGTCTGTGTCCTATTTTTTTGAAAAATGTCATGCCGACGTGTCCATGTCGTGTCGTGTCGTATTCATGTCTCCTGTCCATGTCCATGTCCATGCTTCTTAGGTTGGGGGGAAATCGAAGGCGCCTAGTTAGGTAGCCCATGAAGTTTTACAAAGCCTACCAATTTATCACGCTCGATCATGCAGCTGGTAGACCTTTCACACTATGAAAAGCTACTACCTAAGCCAAAATTTTCATCAAAATTCAAAAGCATAGTCCAAAGAGATTAGCGAATTGCCTTCTGTTTTCCCTCCCTCCATTTATTCTTACACATGGTCTTTAATGTCTGACTGTTGCAAACTTAGACAAGCTCACAATTCTCATTTTTATTCTTATGGGAGGCTTCGATGATACAGTCTAATTTATATGATGTTTCCTTCGTATAAAAAGTGAAGTATTGAACCACGAGTACTTAAAATCTCAATATAACATATCAGAATATGCACAATGAGAGGACAACTCAAAAAGAAACTAAATTTAGGGATAAGAATGTAAACAAAAGATTGAGCATAGATCCAACCTTCCATTCTTGTGAGGAATGACAGCAGCATGCTGGCGTGAGACAGACTGATGATCAAGCACAAAATCACAAGTGTGAAACTGCCTCCCAAAGATGTGCCTTCGCTTATCCAAATTTATCCGATCAAGAACCTCACCATCCTTCATAACATCAAGATGATAGACGCCCAGCCGGGGCTCAATTGCCCAATCAGGAGGCTGCCAAGTCGATTGGCCCCCTCCAAGCTGAGCCGCTTGTTGAGTTTGCACTACGGTTGGCACTGCTACATCCAGCTCCACGGGTTTCTGAGAAACATAGTGTTGGTTCTCATATAGGGGTTGCTGATGAGGAGCCAGAGGTTGAGAATATGAAGCCGATGGATACACATTTGGTTTAGGAGAGGGCTGCGTAGTTGGTTTTTGAGCTGAATTCACGGATACCGAGAATGGTTCCAAAGACTGAGCTTTCTTGAACCGATCAAGACCCGATCTTCCATACATTGTTTCCTTCCTTATTTTCCAAAATAAACTCCTGCCAGCAACTCAATGATAGCAGAAGCACAAGTCACAACAGTGAAACGCCACCAAAATGTAGCAATATTAACGCTGGTCAAATAACCGACCCTGCATCCGCTCCACTCCATACAGAGCTCCCATCCTAAACCAAAGATGAAGGAATAAAATTACAGATAGATGCGCACACCAAACAAAACACTGTCTCATACTTATGCTAGTTAGCCCATATGAGAGTATTAGTGCGCGACAGAGAGTGTGCTTGTCAGTGACAGTCAATCAGAATCCAGACAAAATGAAAAAGAAAATCCGAGAGAAAATATAGCATAACAGTTCTTGTAAGTAAGGGGTCTCGCCCTCGCTTTTCAAACCAAAAAATCAAAGTAATTTTTCACTCACAGAACACACAACAACAAAAAAAAATTAGTAGTTTGGAGATCTTATTAATAACTGCAGTCCAATGTGGCCGATAAGAATCACGAGAAATTTCAAAGATCAACAGCGTATCTAAGAGTGAAGTATGCAAATCCGTCGATTATGGTATCTAAGTATTGTTAATAAGACATAATGATATGGAGAAGCACATAGCAAGTAAAGGTTGCGGAACGAATCGAAACAGCTAACTGAGATAAAAAAAAAAAAAAAAAGGCTTTACCTTCGGACGAAGGAGACACAACTTTAGGGTTTGTACAGTGCAAAAGCTAACGATAGCGTTTGAATAATCATAAGTTGCAAATCCACCAAGAAAGATTGTGTGAATCGTCTGATTGCTGCTGAGCTTGGGATTTGAGAGAGAGANACACAACTTTAGGGTTTGTACAGTGCAAAAGCTAACGATAGCGTTTGAATAATCATATGTTGCAAATCCACCAAGAAAGATTGTGTGAATCGTCTGATTGCTGCTGAGCTTGGGATTTGAGAGAGAGAGAGGGAGAGAGGGAGAGAGGTGGAGAGATGTTTCCGAGAGACAATCCCCGAGGTTTGTCACTAATACAGACGGATCCCCTCAGGTATGGTAAATTACACTGAATCCCCCGCATGACAGCAGTTTGCAAACAGCACCGACGGAAATAATAAAAAGACCAATTTACCCCTACCCACACCCCCCAGACAAGGTCAACCCTGGTCAACTCAACTTAACTGGACTGCACAAGGGCAGTGGAAGACACATTTGACTATCAAAATCCACCAAGGGACCCCAAATCAGGAGAAAATATTCGGTGCTAATAAAGTATCTGGTGACAATACCGTGGGGTGGCTACACCTAAAGAAAAATTATTGCATCACTTGCTTGGACTCACAAGTTAAATTTTTATTTATTAGAATTCACTGTCTATTCAATGGTTGAGATTATTAAATCTAATTTTTAAGTCTAATTTTTAAATCTNAAAATCCACCAAGGGACCCCAAATCAGGAGAAAATATTCGGTGCTAATAAAGTATCTAGTGACAATACCGTGGGGTGGCTACACCTAAAGAAAAATTATCGCATCACTTACTTGGACTCACAAGTTAAATTTTTATTTATTAGAATTCACTGTCTATTCAATAGTTGAGATTATTAAATCTAATTTCTAAGTCTAATTTTTAAATCCATCTAGCATTATTTTTTTTCAAAAGAATAGTCTGACAACTTCCCAAGCAATAAAAATTAATTAAGAAAGTATAATATCTTATAGGCGATATACACTGTCTTACGGTGTTTGGTGTGCAGGCAATATTTTCTCCCAAATCAGATTGAGTGAACTGGTTGGATATCCAGGGAGGGGAGCTCATGTATATTGAGCTTAAGAAGAACAAAATCATGTCGGAAGCCCATATAAACTACCACATCAAGACCCAGTTGTTCAACACGAATAGGACACTGGAGCCCCTGTCCTCCCTCAACTCATACAAAATACACNCGGAAGCCCATATAAACTACCACATCAAGACCCAGTTGTTCAACACGAATAGGACACGGGAGCCCCTGTCCTTCCTCAACTCATACAAAATACATATTCAAATACAAATACAAATACAAATCACAACAGCCAATAGGATTATTTCACTTCATCCAACCTTCCTCTGCTTCATTTTTCCTCCTCCGAAATGGTTTCTATTTCTGCCTCTTGTATATCTTACCCAAAAAGGACTTCAACACTGCCTGCACTGCTTTGCTTGGATGAGCTTCAATAAAGCTTGTAAGTTTTTGATAGCTCTTGCTTTCATACTCCGTGAATACACTCTGTCACATCGGACACAAAAATAATAAAGATCTCCGTCGAGAAATGTATAACAAAANTATCTTACCCAAAAAGGACTTCAACACTGCCTGCACTGCTTTGCTTGGATGAGCTTCAATAGAGTTTGTAAGTTTTTGATAGCTCTTGCTTTCATACTCCGTGAATACACTCTGTCACATTGGACACAAAAATAATAAAGATCTCCGTCGAGAAATGTATAACAAAAATGACGTGCTCTTTAGGATTTTGGTGATGCAGCAGCAGTTGTGATTTGACTCTAGATGTGATCTTTATTGCACCTTCATGGATTTTGTGGAGCATATTGAGGCTTAGCAACAAGAGAGGTGCAGTGTTTTAGTTAATTTGTGCCTTAACCATGTGGATTTGAAGCGGCTTTTCTTCAATTACTTATACCATGGTTTGGGACTCCCTTCAGGGCTTGGTTAGTTTCCATTACCAAAGACACGAGGTTTATTTGAAGACTAGGTGAGTCTTCAATTATGCTTAGAGAAAGGAAAATGGCTGCACATTGTCTTTCTGGGCCATGCAGGATGAGAATTTAATAGCATGGATGGAGGATCCTCCATTTATGGGTCTTGGGATTCACATTTTTTGTTCAATGATCATCTACTCCTCAAAAAAGATCAAGCTCAAACCTGAAGATCTAGATCATTATAGAGGGCTTTCACTTTTGCAACATCAGCAGAATCTGCTTTCCCATAATGCTCCTGCAAAAAGTACATGCTATCAATAAGAAAATCCATGGTTCATGGCAAAAATGACAAACAAGATGACAATTTGCCCCTTACATATAACACTTTCTTCTGTTCTTCGTTGCAACGTTCCAATGCTTTCACAACCAGCCAAGAGCACTTGAAATCTTCAATATCTGTTCCAATCTGATGATGCAAGNATAAGAAAATCCATGGTTCATGGCAAAAATGACAAACAAGATGACAATTTGCCCCTTACATATAACACTTTCTTCTGTTCTTCGTTGCAACATTCCAATGCTTTCACAACCAGCCAAGAGCACTTGAAATCTTCAATATCTGTTCCAATCTGATGATGCAAAAGACCAAAGTTAAGAGCTGTCAGCAAATTAGTTGTGAACTTTTTGAAATATCCCATCATTCTGTGTTGAACAACCATGACGCAGAATCTCACCTTGCCAATTGTTTCTGGATCACCAAAGCAATCCAAATAATCATCCTGCAAAGATAGAAAAACTGTATAATGACGTGGATGTAAGTGAATAAAAGACTCTTCTAGAATACCATGCAGTGTGGCACCTATGTATTCTAGCACTCATACCCATAAAAGTACAACAGACCTAGTGCCAGATCCCAACATTTGATACTGTAAGTAAGCAAACAAGTACCTGTACTTGAAAGTATATCCCCATTTGAACCAGAATGTCCTTTACATCAATATGATTTTCCAAGTTCTCGCCTGCCATAAGCAATGCACATGCAACCTGTATAACAATAGGGAATATAACCATTCAAATGGTACATGGTTTGATAGAATTTAAGGGACTTTTTGCTCACCGGAAGGTAGAATGAGTAATAGGCAGTCTTGTACTGAACAATGCGGCAGTGACTGCACAGAATTTGTAGAATTTCACAAATTAACAAGAAAACAACTAACTCAAAAGGAATCATTTTCAAATGACAGAAAAAGAGTAACAGATGCAGTATTGACACAACAAAGGAATGTAGGATAACTCAGTCATTTTTGAGATGTTAAGGTCGATCACTCCCATGTCAAAGGAAAGTGGAAATAGTATGGACCACTACTGGTGCCAACATGCATGAATAAACATAAGTGTCAAAAAAAAAAAAAAGCAAATGTGAATGATGCTTCTAATGATTTGGCATTTTATAGGCATACAGAATTCATACCAAAAGCACCCCAACAACCCTTAAAAAGTCAAATAAACACTTAAGTGAAACAGTGTGCACTGCACATCAATGAATCTGTACAACCGTTCAGGAGATAGCCTAAGTTTCCACAGGAAGCTTGCCAATTATCACACTAAATTTTACACTTTTGATCATAACAATTATAATTTTAGCAATTCTGCCAAGGAAATCCATTTACTCTCAAAATGGAGGCATAACTTCTTTCTGGACAATGGGCACTCCCAATAACATGTCTAGGCTGGTAAAGACATTTTCATAGTTTGGCCATTCATTTTATGTGGATAAGTTAATTAGTCATAATTCCAGCTGCAGGGGTTGCCTAGTGCCATTAAGTCAAGTAAGAAGTATGTACTAATATTCCCACTCACAGCAGCAATGAGTATTTGGATAGATCCTTTTCTCCTTCAAGCGTAGTAATCAAATCTATCATTTGTCCTGAAGCTGTTTGGAACTCCACCTACAACATCACAATGTGAATCAACTTCAACAAGTTTTTAAAATGAAACTGAGCAATCTAGGTCACTGCAAGTCAACCACCTCATTGAATAAATCCAGCAGATCAACATAGTAAGGCTTCTCTCTGAAGTGCTTCTTGAGAATCCTAGGGATGTGATTGCGAAGTAAAACACCATCATTTACAGCAATCATTCCAACCTGAAACATTTGGTTCATTATTTATCTGCATTAGTAAAGGCAATGCAAAAAAGTAGAAATTTTCTCTAATTGGCACAAACCTTGGGCACTTTGAACCAACAAGGTTGGCCACGCCGCGTGTGTGAGTTATCCATAATATCATCGAGAACAAGAAAATATGCCTGTAGCTGCAAATATGGTTATAATGAAAGAATCAGATTCATAGACAGTACAAATACATTTTACAGGACAATTAGCACAATTAAGGATAAGGACCTAAGTATAATCTGCCGACTTACCCATTCAATACACCAGCCTAGGGCGCCTGCAAGAAATATTTCATCCTCGGTTAGTTCCTTTCCTTCTTTAAGCAACTTGTAGCTATCAATTACAGACAGCCCCCGGTTCAGCTTCCCTGCAAACAAAGTTTGACTCGGTCTATCAAACATAAAACATGCTTCTTTAGTCAGCTTCCTTTGCTCTTATAAATGAAGATTGAATACAGCCTCGTAAGCAACACTAAATGCTATGCAAGTATGACACAGGACCGACAAAAATGGATTGATTCTGACCTCCAGGTACATTATAGTCCAGCATCTGTCAAAAATAAAATAATCATCTAAGTCAGGGAACCATGGAAAGGCTGCATGTTTTTTATGGAATGGTGCACAAGAGAGAGAGAGAGAGAGAGAGAGATTCCCATTATAATTTACTGTCAAAGAATTAGGAGAAAACCAACCAAAGAGTCATAAAGAAGACTGATCACTAAAGAATACAAATGTCATTTTGCATTAATAATTCTCTAAAATGCAAGCAAAACTTAAAGGGAACAAAAATAAGGGAATCATTCAGATGCTTGAAGGGTTATTCATCATAAAGATGCAAGGAATAAAGCTTTACAATGTAAGGTTCTAGTAGATAGTTGATCAAAAAGTTAAAATCACCAACTCCACCACAAGCCAGTGCTAAAAGATTAAAAGAATATGGTTGTCACTACTCTATGAAACCAATAATGAACTAAGCATGACAATGTAAAAGGCAGCTAAGATCAGCATCCCACAATTAAAGGAAATTGCTCTATTCCATTGCAAGGGAATGAACATAGCATCCCATATGACCATGAATTTTCAAGGAGCCATTTCTGTTATTAAACAGACAAACAAAACCCAGAAACATNTCAAAAAAAAAAAAAAGCAAATGTGAATGATGCTTCTAATGATTTGGCATTTTATAGGCATACAGAATTCATACCAAAAGCACCCCAACAACCCTTAAAAAGTCAAATAAACACTTAAGTGAAACAGTGTGCACTGCACATCAATGAATCTGTACAACCGTTCAGGAGATAGCCTAAGTTTCCACAGGAAGCTTGCCAATTATCACACTAAATTTTACACTTTTGATCATAACAATTATAATTTTAGCAATTCTGCCAAGGAAATCCATTTGCTCTCAAAATGGAGGCATAACTTCTTTCTGGACAATGGGCACTCCCAATAACATGTCTAGGCTGGTAAAGACATTTTCATAGTTTGGCCATTCATTTTATGTGGATAAGTTAATTAGTCATAATTCCAGCTGCAGGGGTTGCCTAGTGCCATTAAGTCAAGTAAGAAGTATGTACTAATATTCCCACTCACAGCAGCAATGAGTATTTGGATAGATCCTTTTCTCCTTCAAGCGTAGTAATCAAATCTATCATTTGTCCTGAAGCTGTTTGGAACTCCACCTACAACATCACAATGTGAATCAACTTCAACAAGTTTTTAAAATGAAACTGAGCAATCTAGGTCACTGCAAGTCAACCACCTCATTGAATAAATCCAGCAGATCAACATAGTAAGGCTTCTCTCTGAAGTGCTTCTTGAGAATCCTAGGGATGTGATTGCGAAGTAAAACACCATCATTTACAGCAATCATTCCAACCTGAAACATTTGGTTCATTATTTATCTGCATTAGTAAAGGCAATGCAAAAAAGTAGAAATTTTCTCTAATTGGCACAAACCTTGGGCACTTTGAACCAACAAGGTTGGCCACGCCGCGTGTGTGAGTTATCCATAATATCATCGAGAACAAGAAAATATGCCTGTAGCTGCAAATATGGTCATAATGAAAGAATCAGATTCATAGACAGTACAAATACATTTTACAGGACAATTAGCACAATTAAGGATAAGGACCTAAGTATAATCTGCCGACTTACCCATTCAATACACCAGCCTAGGGCGCCTGCAAGAAATATTTCATCCTCGGTTAGTTCCTTTCCTTCTTTAAGCAACTTGTAGCTATCAATTACAGACAGCCCCCGGTTCAGCTTCCCTGCAAACAAAGTTTGACTCGGTCTATCAAACATAAAACATGCTTCTTTAGTCAGCTTCCTTTGCTCTTATAAATGAAGATTGAATACAGCCTCGTAAGCAACACTAAATGCTATGCAAGTATGACACAGGACCGACAAAAATGGATTGATTCTGACCTCCAGGTACATTATAGTCCAGCATCTGTCAAAAATAAAATAATCATCTAAGTCAGGGAACCATGGAAAGGCTGCATGTTTTTTATGGAATGGTGCACAAGAGAGAGAGAGAGAGAGAGAGAGATTCCCATTATAATTTACTGTCAAAGAATTAGGAGAAAACCAACCAAAGAGTCATAAAGAAGACTGATCACTAAAGAATACAAATGTCATTTTGCATTAATAATTCTCTAAAATGCAAGCAAAACTTAAAGGGAACAAAAATAAGGGAATCATTCAGATGCTTGAAGGGTTATTCATCATAAAGATGCAAGGAATAAAGCTTTACAATGTAAGGTTCTAGTAGATAGTTGATCAAAAAGTTAAAATCACCAACTCCACCACAAGCCAGTGCTAAAAGATTAAAAGAATATGGTTGTCACTACTCTATGAAACCAATAATGAACTAAGCATGACAATGTAAAAGGCAGCTAAGATCAGCATCCCACAATTAAAGGAAATTGCTATATTCCATTGCAAGGGAATGAACATAGCATCCCATATGACCATGAATTTTCAAGGAGCCATTTCTGTCATTAAACAGACAAACAAAACCCAGAAACAGTTTTTCTTTGTGACTTGGATGGTAATGAGAATAGCTTCTCCCCCCCTAATCCAATNACAGACAAACAAAACCCAGAAACAGTTTTTCTTTGTGACTTGGATGGTAATGAGAATAGCTTCTCCCCCCCTAATCCAATCCATACATAAGAATCTCAAGCAATTGGCAGTATGCAATAGCTATGCTAATAATGTTGCAAGAATGAGCATTACAATCCCCCACTAGTTCGTCCAATTGCTGAGGAGAGCAAGAAAAACCATGATCTTCCATCATATATTTAATTTTTCTTGTTTTAATTTGTCTAGAAAAGCTGAGAGACGCAACTCTTCCAGATACATGGCTGACCAGGTAGTTGTGATAGGCTCAGCTAGGTGAGGGTCGAGTCAACCCATTCTGGAAGAATTGAATGAACAAATATTCAGCCCATCATTTCACTTTCTGTTTTCCAAAGTTTCTTTAGCAATGTAACGGAGCAATACCAGAAGGAAGTAAATTCCATATAGTATACTTTGTTCTGTCCTGGAAAATAGAACTAGGTATAGTACGCGAGAGTTGCCTGGCATTCAAGATCTCTAATCTCGATTTCAAAAATCATTACTTGGTTTAAGTTTGTAAAAATGAATATAGAGCAAAAGAGAAACGAATTGCAAGCTAAAGAAGAACATGATATAAGATTCTCGATATTCATGCAAGTAGAATGAGCTAAAAAATGATGTCTCAAAGGCAAAAGATTGATGGGATCAAAACAACGAAATCTTCCTCATCACCAAGATTAAGAAAATCAAAATTAGAGGAAATTACGAATGAGATTTGAATGCATAAGAAGTATGTAATTGTAGTTATATACGAGATAATTAGAAAGTAGCGAGAACTCACCCGGTCGACCCATTGACGAGAATCATCAGTGAAGTCGAAAGCAGGGTCATTAAGGAGTTCGGATTTGAGGACAGAGTATACCCCCAGAAACGAGGACTTCAGATCCGACGTAGTTCCGTTCAGATTTGCCATTTCAATTACTCTTTCTCAATGAGACGCACAGAGAGTGAGAGAGAGAGGATGTGGGGTAAATTGAACGGAACGCCTCCTCGTGTCAGTCCTTCACAGTTGGCCGATNAATGAGACGCACAGAGAGTGAGAGAGAGAGGATGTGGGGTAAATTGAACGGAACGCCTCCTCGTGTCAGTCCTTCACAGTTGGCCGATTGTTTGCACTTTGTATATTTAGCCGAGAGAGAGAGAGAGAGAGAGAGAGAGAGAGAGAGAGAGAGACNGAGAGAGGGCGGGGCCTACTGGGGGAAATTACCACGTGAGAGGATGCAATCAAAGTGGGTTTAGAAAAGAGGGTGGAGATTTCCCGGAAATGCCAATGTGCCATGGCTTCAAATTCAATGAGTGAGTGATGGGTGCAGTAGTATTGAGAGCTCGTAAGCACGTGAATAGAGNGGTTTAGAAAAGAGGGTGGAGATTTCCCGGAAATGCCAATGTGCCATGGCTTCAAATTCAATGAGTGAGTGATGGGTGCAGTAGTATTGAGAGGTCGTAAGCACGTGAATAGAGGANGTGGAGATTTCCCGGAAATGCCAATGTGCCATGGCTTCAAATTCAATGAGTGAGTGATGGGTGCAGTAGTATTGAGAGCTCGTAAGCACGTGAATAGAGGAGAGAGAGAGAGATTTGGCTATTTGTTTGGCATTTTCCTTCCAATTATTATTTTATGTACTGTCTGAAGTGAACAACCCATCGCGTAACATGGACCTCAGTCGGCCCTAATTTCCAAAATTAGTACAATCTTGATTGTTGAAATCCTCCAACATTTGGATCTCGTTGACATTATACAATTTTGAGACTTTTTTTTTAAGGGAACCACAGATTTAAAATTAAGGGTTAATTACATTATAAGTCCTTAAAGTATAAAATTTATCTTATTTTAGTCTCTAATGTTTCAATTACATTATTTTGATCTCTAAAATATTAGATATATTTCTATATGGTCCTTGAAGCAAACAGTATTCACATTCCTAAGGATTTTTTTATCATAAACTTGTTATATGATATTGAAATATGGACAAAAATAATTTGAATAACTCTTGAGGGGTGTCAACTCTGACCCGTTGATACAAATCCGACACGAACCTGATACAAACGATTATACAATTGACTGACTTATTAAATATGCATAATAAATAATCTACATTAATATATAATATTGAGAACACACTGAATATATTTTTTTTTCATGAATCTTGACACGAATATGACACGTATAACAATGACATGACACGAATAACACGACATATGGATCACACGAACACAACACGTCTTAACTAAATTTTTACTCAAATTTTGGTTAAATACCTATATACATTACACAGTTTTGATTTTGAGCTATCTAATTTTTGGTCAAAAGTTATCCGTATTATACATTTTTTTGTCAATAGCTACTCAAATTTTGTTTAAAAACTATCAAAATTATTTTTTTATCTATATTTAGCTATTATGTAACAAGATTATGATAAAAAAATCGTTAGTAATTTAAGCGTTGTCTGCTTGAAAGATCATATAAAAATATAATGCAATTGAAATATTAAGGACAAAAATAAAACAAACCTCCTACTTTGGAAAGCTTTATTACAATTAACCCTAAAATTAACACATAAATGTGTTGACTCCTGTACGAACGACTCACTCGCTACAACCACTATTGTAAGCTATTGAATTGACCAACCGACCATTTTATTTTTGGCAAGGCTCATCATGTTTTCCCTTTGCAGGCAGCCCAATACTAGCCAGTACTAGTACAGAGTGCAGTAACATGTTTACCTTGATCGTGAACAAATCTGTTAAAAAACAAGTTAAGATCAAGTTGGATTTTTTTCCTAAAAATCAAAGGCAAAGCCAGTGCCAAGCCACAGCACGCCACAGCCAGATTTGTCTTTAAAAATTGAGGGCAGGCCTTTACTATTATAAATGCAAGCTGGTGAGGGAATACTTCTTTTTTTTTTATTGCTTGTTTTTTGGGGTTGTTCAAACTTTAAATGGAAGACGGTGTTCAAAGTTGTTATTTATTGACTTGACATGATGCATCTGCATGATGCATCTGCAGTTATGGTCCGTTTGGTACAAGGATGAAAAGTATGAAGAAAGGAAAAATAAAAAGAATAAATTTTTCATTCATGAAGGAAAAAAAATTATTTTTCTTCCATTTTATTTGTTAGGAGGGATGAAAAATAGAAGGAATATATTTTCTATCGTTTGGTATTAGCTAAAAAATGAAAGGAAAGGAAAAAATATGTACATACAAATTTACTACTCTACCCTTACTAACCTTATAATATATTGGACACCTAATGTTTCTTGCAATGAACAATTAGTGAATCATTTGTGCTAACATGTTAGAAAACATGTTGCAAAAGATTATTGGGAGATGTTTGTGGGGATCCATTATTGGAAATGAATTGCCAGAAAAAAAAAAAAAAAGGAAGTCAAAATTCAGTTTTCTTTTGAATATTAGATGAGAATTTTTTTACAAAAAGATATCTAACCAAATCATCTTATTTTTTTTTATAATAAGAAAATTAGTAAATGTTTAGAATTAGTGCTTTTCATTTATACATAGTACTTTTCATTTCTAACCATCTCAGCCATATCATTAAAAAAAATGACTTCAAGTGAAAAAATCAACCCATAGAAAAACTGATAAACTGTGTTATAGCAGATTGAAATGTAAACTCAAGATTTCACTACACCACTGCCATTCACAGTGTCATCAATTGGACCCTTCCCATATTTCTTTTCAAAATCATGTGCTTGGCTGCCTTTGGTTTTACTTGCAACAGACCTTGTTATCATCCCAACACCCTTGTGGCATCTAGAACCCTCTTGCTTTTCCAGATTCTTGATGATTGTCAAACCTCTCAACTCAATATCATACACGCTAGGAGGAGGAAGTCCATAACTGAGGCATTTGCTGCACCTGAGAGAGTGTTGTCTCTTCCTTATCATATTGTCAAATTGCCCACCATGATAATACACCAGTTAGAAGCATCTAGTGGCCATCTACACAAAACATATTGATTTGTGCATAAAGTTAACATTTTTTACTATGCCTTTTTGGACTAATTGTACTTTGATAGACTTTAAGTAATGACATTTTCAGGTCCTAAAGTGAACAAAGGCTCAAGAACAACAAAAATCATATTTGAATGTAACACCAGCACAATAGGAAATAAAATTGCAAAAGGTTGGGATAAAGCAAGAACGTTCGAATGTCAACCCACATTCGAACATCCTCTGAAATCCTGCCAAGACCAGTTGCTGAGACATGGCGTGTTGCAGTCAACAAAGGGAAAATGCTAAGGTACTTGGNGTCAACCCACATTCGAACATCCTCTGAAATCCTGCCAAGACCAGTTGCTGAGACATGGCGTGTTGCAGTCAACAAAGGGAAAATGCTAAGGTACTTGGGTACCAAGTTCGAACATCCTCTGGAATCCTGAGAAGACTAAACCACTGGAACCTAGTACGTTGCAGTCAAGAAAGAAGAATCACAGACTAAAAGTACTTGAGTACAACGTTCGANATATGCATAATAAATAATCTAGATTAATATATAATATTGAGAACACACTGAATATACTTTTTTTCATGAATCTTGACACGAACATGACACGTATAACAATGACATGACGCGAATAACACGACATATGGATCACACGAACACAACACGTCTTGACTAAATTTTTACTCAAATTTTGGTTAAATACCTATATACATTACACAGTTTTGATTTTAAGCTATCTAATTTTTGGTCAAAAGTTATCCATATTATACATTTTTTTGTCAATAGCTACTCAAATTTTGTTTAAAAACTATTAAAATTATTTTTTTATCTATATTTAGCTATTATGTAACAAGATTATGATAAAAAAATTGTTAGTAATTTAAGCGTTGTCTGCTTGAAAGATCATATAAAAATATAATGCAATTAAAATATTAAGGACAAAAATAAAACAAACCTCCTACTTTGGAAAGCTTTATTACAATTAACCCTAAAATTAACACATAAATGTGTTGACTCCTGTACGAACGACTCACTCGCTACAACCACTATTGTAAGCTATTGAATTGACCAACCGACCATTTTATTTTTGGCAAGGCTCATCATGTTTTCCCTTTGCAGGCAGCCCAATACTAGCCAGTACTAGTACAGAGTGCAGTAACATGTTTACCTTGATCGTGAACAAATCTGTTAAAAAACAAGTTAAGATCAAGTTGGATTTTTTTCCTAAAAATCAAAGGCAAAGCCAGTGCCAAGCCACAGCACGCCACAGCCAGATTTGTCTTTAAAAATTGAGGGCAGGCCTTTACTATTATAAATGCAAGCTGGTGAGGGAATACTTCTTTTTTTTTTATTGCTTGTTTTTTGGGGTTGTTCAAACTTTAAATGGAAGACGGTGTTCAAAGTTGTTATTTATTGACTTGACATGATGCATCTGCAGTTATGGTCCGTTTGGTACAAGGATGAAAAGTATGAAAGAAGGAAAAATAAAAAGAATAAATTTTTCATTCATGAAGGAAAAAAAATTATTTTTCTTCCATTTTATTTGGTAGGAGGGATGAAAAATAGAAGGAAGATATTTTCTATCGTTTGGTATTAGCTAAAAAATGAAAGGAAAGGAAAAAATATGTACATACAAATTTACTACTCTACCCTTACTAACCTTATAATATATTGGACACCTAATGTTTCTTGCAATGAACAATTAGTGAACCATTTGTGCTAACATGTTAGAAAACATGTTGCAAAAGATTATTGGGAGATGTTTGTGGGGATCCATTATTGGAAATGAATTGCCAGAAAAAAAAAAAAAAAAGAAGGAAGTCAAAATTCAGTTTTCTTTTGAATATTAGATGAGAATTTTTTTACAAAAAGATATCTAACCAAATCATCTTATTTTTTTTTATAATAAGAAAATTAGTAAATGTTTAGAATTAGTGCTTTTCATTTATACATAGTACTTTTCATTTCTAACCATCTCAGCCATATCATTAAAAAAAATGACTTCAAGTGAAAAAATCAACCCATAGAAAAACTGATAAACTGTGTTATAGCAGATTGAAATGTAAACTCAAGATTTCACTACACCACTGCCATTCACAGTGTCATCAATTGGACCCTTCCCATATTTCTTTCCAAAATCATGTGCTTGGCTGCCTTTGGTTTTACTTGCAACAGACCTTGTTATCATCCCAACACCCTTGTGGCATCTAGAACCCTCTTGCTTTTCCAGATTCTTGATGATTGTCAAACCTCTCAACTCAATATCATACACGCTAGGAGGAGGAAGTCCATAACTGAGGCATTTGCTGCACCTGAGAGAGTGTTGTCTCTTCCTTATCATATTGTCAAATTGCCCACCATGATAATACACCAGTTAGAAGCATCTAGTGGCCATCTACACAAAACATATTGATTTGTGCATAAAGTTAACATTTTTTACTATGCCTTTTTGGACTAATTGTACTTTGATAGACTTTAAGTAATGACATTTTCAGGTCCTAAAGTGAACAAAGGCTCAAGAACAACAAAAATCATATTTGAATGTAACACCAGCACAATAGGAAATAAAATTGCAAAAGGTTGGGATAAAGCAAGAACGTTCGAATGTCAACCCACATTCGAACATCCTCTGAAATCCTGCCAAGACCAGCTGCTGAGATATGGCGTGTTGCAGTCAACAAAGGGAAAATGCTAAGGTACTTGAGTACCACGTTCGAACATCCTCTGGAATCCTGAGAAGACTAAACCACTGGAACCTAGTACGTTGCAGTCAAGAAAGAAGAATCACAGACTAAAAGTACTTGAGTACAACGTTCGAACGCTATTCCATGTTCAAACGTTGTCTTGAGTGACTGAGGATCAAGTTGCTGAGTGTAAAGTCAAAGTTGTTCAAGATGTATGGAAATGACCATCACAGAGACCACAGGCCACTTAAATGGAAGGAATCAGACCTCATCTGGCGTTCAAACGCCCTAAAAGCAAAGACACAGACAACGTTCGAACGACATCTCACATTCGAATATCCTTAAAGAAAAGACAAACTTAATGTTCGAACGCCAGATCACGTTTGAACGTCCTCTGTAGACTACTTGCAGAGTAGTTGGTTCTCATGGGCGACAAACACTATTCACTCATCCACTCTTATCTCCTACCCCCCATTCCTTGCCTATAAATACTCCCATGTTGGGAGCTTAAAGAGCATTCTTCCTCTTGTAGATAAAAGGGGGAACAACCCTTGTTCTTGTAAAGTAAGAGTGTTTAGTAATTTAGCTCTTGAACATTTTATGTTTATGTTTTCATTTTGCATTTATATCAACCATGATGGAGGCTTAGACTCCCCTTGTAGTTGAAGTTTTTTATTTACTTATGCTAAGTCTTTACATTCATGTTTTGACAACCAAGATGGAGGCTTAGACTCCCCTTGTAGTTGTACTTGCTTTTATTTACAAAGTATAAAGAGAGATAGTTCATCTTTTGGTTGGGTGGAAACTCTCCAAAAGTAACTAGTTTTCTTCTATTTTTATTATTCATGTATTTCACTTCCATTGCTTGAGCATCCTTTTTTCTTAGAAGAGTGAAATTTTTCCACTTTTCTAGAGCTTTACCAAAGCCGTGAAGGGTGGAAAGTAATTCACTTATTCTTCATTGAAGATAAGCTCTTTGTTTAGTTTGCTTCACTTAGTAGCTCCTCTACTTAGAGGGATGAGTAACATTCACTTTTCTAGCTTTGCCAAAGCCATGAAAAGTGAGTAGTTCTTCATTCACTCTTTAGTAAGAGGTGATGAATACGCAAAGATTATCCATAAATTATATTTGTGCAACTTCTTTATGCTTTAATGTTTTATACTCCACCTGTTTCATTGGATGATTGAATGTATCTAGCAAAGTTGAGGTAGTTTGTATAACCAAGGGCTCCCTCTATGATACGGATGATTCTTGTATAAAAAGACCCATTGGTTCAAGGCAAGTACCCCCGCTAGCTCTTCATAACAACCTTTCAATCCTTACCATTATTACACTTTATTCAAAGAATTGATTATTAATGTCATAATTGGATGCCTTGTAGAAACACTTGCTTGTTTATAGACGGGTTAAGTCTCGGCATAGACAATTCTTGTAAACTTCTAGAAAGGCATCAGAATTATATGCTTAATTCTCACAGTCCATATTTATCTTTCGATTAACTTGCTGTTGACACGAGAGTTAATTGAGTTATAAAGCACAAACATAATAAATCGGATACTCTATTACATGTCTGGATCTTCGAGCTAAAGGGTGGCTGTTACATTTTAAGAATTTTATATTTTGTCTATAAAACTCTTGAAAAAAATCTTCGATTCTATTCAAGAAAACTCCACCACTCCAAACTCTCGAAATTTTCAGTTACTTAGTCTCTATTATTGCTTACTTCAAAACACCAATTATAGTTCCCTGTGGATTCGACTCCGGACTTAACCAAATTATTACTACAACTTGACCGCATGCACCTGTGTACACATTTCGATCAAGTCACATATAAACATAGAAATTTCTGTTAATGGGGGCCCTTTACATTGATATTCACATGCATTGAACTAAAATAATATATTGTCTCACATAATCCCAACAATCCACTGACCCACATGATTCCCACAAAAGATTTTACTTTTCAATAAACTAACACAATAAAAGGTGACAAAAAAATATGATTCATCAATTATAGCAAACAAAACACACCCCATGTATGAACCCATCATGCATAGACGCGAACCCAAGCGAAACAAACCCCCACTGACAGAAAATTTGCATCGTAACCCACCTACGATGTTGATTGCGGTGGCTCATGACTTACAATCGACCATTTATACATCCTATACCTTAATCCACGACTTCAAGCATTTGAGGACTTCAAACATTACGGGACTTCAAGCATACCATAGACTTCAACCATTACAGGACTTCAAGGGTAAAAATGTCAAAATAGCCAAAGTAGCAGCTGGTCTTCAACTTTCCGCCCACTTTTGGGGGGAAAAATTTTGGTGGGCGGGAAAGATAGTCTTTCCCTCAAATTTTCCTTCCCCTCCTTTTTTCCTTTCATACCAAACAGTGGAAAGTCTCTTTCCATCCACCCCCATTTTCTATCCATTATTTTCTATCCATCCAACTTTCCTTCCAACCAAACACAAGGTTTATGTACACAGCCATCAGACTAGATTTTGAATTGGAGGGAGTGGTAGGTAGGTGAGTGTTGCATTAATATTTTATTTCTGTCAATGTTACATTTATTTATAGCATAAATTACATATTATTTTTTTATTGTATCTGATAGACACTATCAGAGTTAATAAAATAACACATTCACCCCTATCAATAAATCTTGATGAAAAATAAAAAACAACAACAAAATCATTAATTTTAGAAATACAATGAGTTGTTTAAACTAAATATGTTTAATTAAATGAGCAAAACTATGCGTGAATAACCACCTCGACGAACGGAGAGGGCGGTGAAGAAGGCTTGTGGAACCTACAAGACAAAATAACACCTAGTTGAATGAATGACCAGAGGTGGTCAAATCTAGGTGAATCAATGACCAAAGGTGGTCAAAGGGACTTTGAAGCTTAAGTCAGATCCCAACTCCAAAGAAGAGTATGTAATGAATAGTCTATGATTCAATCCCCTACCTGGTGCCCGAATGTCTTTATTTATAGGGGTAAAAAGTTATGTTCCAACGGAACTTGAACTCTTGGTTGTGATAGGATGGACCTCATCACCAACTCCTACATATCCAGGGTAGAGTTAAACCAGGACACTTGCTACTAGGTCATTATCATTATTTCTTGGTTGTTCGTAATAGCATTTAACTAGGACTTTTGCTCCTTATTGCCTTATCACTAACCCTTAGATATTCGGAGTAGAATTGGATTATGACTCTAAGTCCTTGGTTGGTCCATAACTGAGTAGGAGTCTCCTAGAGAAAGTGGACAATAGAGCTCGTAACAACTCAAGTTGAGGCTTAGTTGTTGCAAGTAGACTCGTATAAGGACCCTTCGGGGACTAGTGTTGATTGGCAGGCCCTTGCCCAAGGGGCCGCCGAATGGATCCCTCAAGTAGGCGCTGACCGACAGTAAGTGCCTAGTCTTGCTAGTGCCGATCGGTAGTAGCAAGTGATATTGTTGGCATGTGTCTAGTCCTTGTTAATGCTGACTAGCAGTAGCAAGTGGGACTACTAGCACATGTTTGGTCCTTGTTGTGCCGACCAACAGTAGCACTTAATCCCCACAATTGCTCCCAATACCTCATTTAATGGATGGAATTAATTGAGGTATGTTTGCGAAGGACTTAGGTTTTTTGGGCCTTTATTGCCTAAAGGACTAGTGCTATAGTTGCCTAAGATGTTTAGGACTTTAGTGGCTTAAGAAGCTTAGGGCTTTAGTCACCTAAGATACTTAGGGCTTTAGTCGCCTAAGAAGCTTAGGAATTTAGTGGCCTAAGAAGCTTATGACTTTAGTTGTCTAAGATGTTTAGGGCTTTAATTGCCTAAGATGCTTAGGATTTTAATTGTCTTTAGTCACCTAAGAAACTTAGGTCTTTAGTTGCCTAAGAAGTTTAGGGATTTAGTTGCCTAAGATGCTTAGGGCTTTAGTTTTCTTTTCTCTCTTCTCCTATTTACTCACTTCCCTTTGTGTTCCTTCACTTGGTTCATAGCTTAGAGCTTGGATAATATAAGGAAAGGAAAAATATTTATTGTTGCTTGTACATAGGAGTGACTTACTTTGCTCATGAGCTAGTCGAGTGATAAGAGTTATTCGAGAGTCAATCCAATCTGATAAGGTCGGGGTAGACATGCTTGAGAAATAACTTAAAAATTCCAAAGTGGAGAATACCTTCTTGAAGAAAAAGAAGAAGAAGGTTACTAAGGTAGACATTTGAGCTGACAAGCTTCAATGGGAACTTTCTAAGGTTAAGAGGAAGATGTTGATATAGAGGACCAAATGAAGAATGTCATATGCGATCATTACTCTGGGATCCTAGACAAAGTTAATCAAAAATATGTAAGAGAGAAGAACAAGTCCTTCGCAGATGGTTGGGGGATAAGCTCGCAAGGCAGTTAGATTAATGGGTCATATCCATCTTGGGAGGACATTCATGGCCTGAGTGTGACTCCTTGATTCCTGAGATCATGGAGAAGTTCCTTGGTGGTGGTGGTTTGAATCTCCTAACACCTATGTCCCTCATTTTAACTAAGAGGGGAGGGTCCCCATGAGTTGAGGTGTCTAATGCTCGGAGAGGTGACAAATTCTTAAGAAAAGCTAAGTAGCCTACTAAGCAGTCATAGATGTTGTTGGTCGCCTATCGAAG